CAGTGGGCACATCTATATGTGCAATTACTGCGCCCCGATAAACTCTGGCGCAGTTCACACCCGTCAGCTGCTCCTGGGCTCAGTGTCTTTGTGTGTGCCTGCAACCGCGGCAGTTTGAGCCAGGGCAGAGCAGTCCTGTGGCTGGCAGCAGGCTCAGGAGGTCAGTCCCAGGCAGTGTCAGGGCTGGCTGGGGCATGAGAGTGTCCAAAGTGTGGAGCCAAGTGGCTGAACCCCCCAAGCCTGCTGCCAGCCCAGGGCTGCTCCACCTTGGCTCAAGCGGCTTCGGTCCCAGTCACCATCCACGCGTGCTTCCTGTGCAGTAAATGACTCCACCATAAAGTAGCACTATCCCTGACAGTACTGTCTTACAGCAGGGTAAATTCATTGAACTAATGCTGGTGCACGTGTAGACGGTGATGCTTTGCTGCGGAGCTAATTAGTCAACTCGTGTAGATGCACCCAAGTGTCTTCAAATGGCAATGGTTCTGTTTCTCTCCCAGTAACTCTGGGTGAATCTCAAGTTAAAGGAGTTTATGCAACTGCAGGAATGCAGCTAGCAAACTGACATTTCTACCCATTCAGTGATGCTGCCAGGACATATGTGCAAATACCCAAGATAGATTTCACGCTGCAACTGTTCCTATTGATTAATGTGACAGTAAACATACGCCTCTACTTGACCTCTAGATGTCCTAATAGTTAATTTTAGGAAAGGAAAAGCAACATTGAAAACCCCCAAATATTCAGATGGGCATGAATAAACTCAACGTATTTCAACTCAGCTGTAAAATAGTTTCTTTCCATCTCCATCTGTCTTCCATTTTATGCAACAAAACCAGTACCAAATAGCACGGCATGTTTTAATCAAAGGACCAATGAACAACAATAAAAAACTAGCAGTTGTCATACGAAACAGTGCTCAGGGAGAGTCCTGTAGATGGCTACACTTGAATAATCACCACCTGATTCATGAGACTATTGGGAGCTGACCGGAGGACCTTTTTTGGCTTTAAAAGCATAAGCACCGGAGCTACACCAATAGTCAGCTGTTAACTTCTTACAGGAGCCAGAAGTTAGAGCTGGGCATTGAACCTGTGAGCTACACCTGCCTCTACCTGCCTGCACAGGTGGGCTGATGGAGTGATGACAACTGTCTGTGAGGATCTACTGTGTCTCAGAGCTTGTAGTTACCCATGAGCTCCTCCTTGGTGAGCAGCCTGGTTTTATCTTTGTTAACAAGGTGAGCTCCAGTTCCTTCTCCCAGGACACCCCATGCCTTCAGTCGGTGGCTCTCCTTTACAATTGCACTTGACATTTTGTTGCTTGCAGCATCTATCTGGGATAATAACCTGAAACAGGATAGAAATGTTCGTTAATCATCTGGACGTAAGGTAAAAATAAATAAATTAATTAATTAAAATAAAATCACATTTTTTTAAACTCCCCCTGCTTTCAAATCATTTTATGATATTCCCAGGGTAATTCTGACACAGTGACCAGGCACCTCCAAACCTTCTTAAGTGGAATGGAATAGCATATTGATAGTATTTCAGCCAGAGACAGTTTGTTAGAAATCATGTAGGAATCCAAATCTCTTTGGACCTTAATGTCTGACTGGCACCTTTTAAATGTGCCCAGCTATTTGTTTCTTCATTTCCCAGCCCTGCTTTCCACAAATATGGTGCTTTTCATCCCCTGTGATTTCAAGAAGCAGACATCAACCCTTCCAAATCTACACTAGTGCTCCCCACAATCAACCCTCAGGCCCAGCACTATGCAACTGCTGTGTCGGTCTAAAGGGAAAATCGCCTAAAATCGAGTTTTATTGCCAAGTACTTGCCTTTGACAGTCTGGTTTAGACCACATGGTTCTATCTCCTCCACAAACTATCTTGTCTGTCAGCATCTCTGCTAATCTCACCGCCTCTCTCAGGGCAGAACTGAATGTGACATAATGCTCTTCCTGGCACTTCAGATCCTGGTGCAATAAGTGAAGTTGCTTATTCACACTCTCCTCATATTCAGCAGCTAGCTGTTTTCTGTGCAGGATCTCTTCTTCTGCCTAATTACATTATAAAATATAGACACCCTTATTTCAAAATATGAACAGAGATTGCAGCTACTCAGTCTTTTAGGCTAGGGACAGAAGTTACACATAAACCAGTTGAAGTCATCAGAAACTGGTTTAAACCTGAAACAGAACAGAAGGTCAGTGCACATAAACCAGTTTCAAAATGGCTGAAACTGGTTTAAGATAAACCTGGTTGAATGTAATATCAGACTTCGATTTGGGTCAAACCAGTTTATGAAACTTCTGTCCCAGGCCTTATTATTGAACAGTGACTAGGTGGAAAAAACAGTCACGGTTGGGTATCTATCTTTACTAAGGCAGTCAAAGGCCAAGAATGCTAATGGGCTGGCTAATAATTATCTGGAGTACAAGTGACCTCTAAGTTTTCACACCCAAATGGTCTGCTAAATAAAACTGGCATTTGAAACATGCCCTCTAGAACATTTAACATGCATCTTAATGGACTGAGTTTGCTTGCTTCTATATCTTGCTGCATGTCTGTACATATATGTGTTTGCAAGCCAATGACAGTATTTCTATTTATAAAGGGTGGCTTTAATGCATTCCTTTGCAGACTTCGGGGCAAGTCAGCCACAGACAATATCTGCAAAGAAAATAGAAAAGGTGGCTGCAAAGAAAATACAGAAACATGCATGGAAAGGGAGGACATTTCCAGACAAATCTTTTGCTACTCCAAAGGCAAAATCATGGTCTTCCTGAAGTAGTAAGGGAGCAGCATTGGACAGTGGGTAAATGCATTCCAAAAAAAGTGAGTAACAGTTCAGAAATGTGCCTCTTCATTAAGATTCAATCGTGCCAACAATTTTAAGCACTTAAGCGGTCTAGTCTGGTCTCGCACATCAGTCACAGATGTATCAGAAATGTTATTTACTCTTTAGCCTCTGGAAACATGAGGCTGCTACACAACAACAGGAGAGAGTAAATCAGCATGACCACATCTCATGCTGGTGAGCATCTCAGTAAGTGTGTGCAAGAATGAAGCAGAGGGCTACCTGTTGCTTGGCGCGCAGATAGGTCCCCATTTTTATGCTGTCGGAAGGCTCCATCTCCTCTGGGACACACAGTCTCATTATCCAAAGCTCTTTAAGAGAAGATATTTCATTCATAAGCTTTTGATACAAGGTTTTCACCTGAGGAGGACAGAAAATGAAAACTAAACACATGGGGCTTGCGACTGTTTGTTTGAGCTCATCTTAATGCCCAGTGCCCATTAAACTACCTACACAAAATGAATGCCTCCTTAAATGATTACACTCCATTTAGGCATAGGATTCCTCTTAAAATATGTTCATATTGGTTGACTTCACCTTAAAATGAAAAACCATGTTGCTCATACAAAAGCTCCCTCCGTGTACAGCACAGCACAGTAATACAATCATTTTACTACCTGGCTTTTTGGGAGATGCTCAGACCTTCGGAGCAAGGACCATCTTTGTTCTGTGTTTTTGTACAGCGCCTAGCACAGGGTGCCTGCTTGAGGACTGGGGCATCCCATATTACAGCTGATGCTAATAGCACATCCCTCCATACTCAATACAATTCCTGAAGGCAATCTTTGTGAAAGAGTCCTCAGCCTGATGCTGCAGTGTTAGAAACACAGGCTGGATGACATAAGGACGCCGCTCCTGGCAAGGCCGTATGCAGGCAGTTTCATTAAAAGGAAGCAGTTTGTGGGCTTGGGCTGTCAGGCATTCGGGTGTTTGGGGGCAGCAAGTAATTTTCAGTCTGCCTCCCCTTTATCTCTATTTTACCTTTCAAGATCTTTTATTATTCTACACACTAGTGCCCTAACACAGACCTCAGATTAAAACAAACCATAAAGCATTAAAAATATGCATGTCAATAAAAAAGCGTACAAACATTTGTCTTATACAGTTGTCTCTTGCTACACGGTATACATGCAGCAGACTGCACTATTAGCTCCCCCTACTGTCCTTAAAAATCCTACAGAAGCATGCACGTGGTCTTAGATCAGCAGCCCGATTCCTCGCTTACTCCAGAATTATGTTGGTGATAAGGCACTGATTTTAACTGTGCAACATTGTTATACAACTGCAACACCAGAATGATGAATTGTGCTCTATATTTTTCTTTCTATCTCTCTACAGCCAGTCCTCGACTTACAGCGTTTTGAGTTACAACATTTCTCACTTACAGCATTTATAAATTCACACCCTGTTTCAACTTTCTGACTTTACAAGTTTCGACTTTACAGCGTGTGATCCGACGCCACTCCACTGAACAACTTTGCTGCATCGCCCATCTCCCTGGACAACATCTGTCCAAACTTCCCTGGACGCTTTCCTTAAGAAAGCAGACGAGACTCCAGAAAAACCTGCATCCAAGACTCCCGAGAAGACTCCAGCCAAGAGCTCTTCAAAAAGTCCAGCCAAGTCACCTCAAAGAAGTCCTTCCAAATCAATATGATTGCTATTTACCATATAAATATATTCATGTAGCTATATTAGTCATCTATAATTGATTGAGTACACAATTCTGGGGTTTTTTTGGTTAAAATAGTGCATCAGGCCTTGGTTCAGGAACCAATCCCCCATTTATAACATTGTTTTCTGTGGGAAAAATCAGTTCCGAGTTACAACGCTTCGACTTAAGACGTAGTTTTTAGGAACCAATTGTGTCGTAAGTCTGAGGACTGCCTGTATATCAATTTTGAGCTCTCTAGTTTGATCTCTCTCAGGGTTTTTTACCAAAAGCCAGACTTATTCCTAGTTATTGATGGGATATTGAGGCAGAAAGGTGAATTGACTTGTGCAGAATCGCTCAGCAGCTCACTGGCAAGACTGGGAAGAGGACTGAGATGCTCTTACACCCAGGCAAACCCCCCACCCGCTGCTGTATGCTACGTCAATACTGCTGTTTTTTAGAAATGATATGCACACATATTAATGGGTCAGGATACTGAAGAAAAAATGTTCTTTCTAATCCTAAGCCAACATGGCAGGTTCTCTTGCATCTGGCTGCTACAATCACCTGTACATTCATGTGAGCACATTCAGAAATAGGTGGCTTACCTCTTCTTTGAACTGACTCAGTTTAGCTGTGACTGACAGGGACTGTGTCAGCAGGATTTCAAAGAAGACGTTGGTATTGAACGAGTCCAAGTCAATTTGTTCTTCAGACAGCCACATTTCCCCTTTTTCCAGGAAGAAAGCTGAAATGAACATATTTATTTAGTATCAGTTTTACTCTTGAGAGGTTTGGGAACCAGAAAATCACTTGCAAACATGCCCCAAAGACACTCTCTGTTATGACCTCTAGTAAGTCAGAGAGCAGGAAGTTGCATTTCAGAGTACTGCAGCCATTGCACATCATCAGTAGTAATGCAGCCAGCAGGACATACAGTGCATTTGATCCATTTCCATGTTTATGGTTTACATCGTGCTTTTTTTTTAACATCTGACCTTCTGTCCCATCAGTGCTGTCAGAGTTGTTGTCCAAGCTGCCTTTGTTCTGTAGTATGGGATGATATTTTTTAACCGAAATCACCGTGGATCCTTTGGAGCAATATTTGTCCAGGTTATATTTCAGCTGCAGCCTTCGAAACGGAGGGCATGTAGTTCCTCTCTTGGCCCAATCAAGCTCTTGACAAAGAAGCTACAAAACACAGTGAAGTGCCATAAGTATGCATCTTTGCATGCTGGGCCAGGCTTTCAGCTGGTATAAATCAGCCTCAGCCCACTGAAGATCTGATCCAGGAATTGTAACCCAAAGCATTGAATAAGCTGTTCTAAACCAAGCAAATGACAAGTCTTAATAAATACTTCATGAGCCAAGGAGCAGAAATTACAGTCCTTGTCAGTCTGGCTCTGCTAATGTCTGAATGACTGTTGGTCACCCATGCTTTTGCATCAATATTTATGATTATTATTTACCTTCCAATACCTGCTAAAAGCTCCAAGCAGCGCTAGGACCCCTTTGTGCTAGACACTGCACAAACCCAGAATGTGAGGCAGACCCTATTGTAAAAACCTTGCTATGGAAAAGTCTATTTGTCTTGCTGTTTTCTGTTACTTATAGTATCTCTGCCTTCTGTTTGCTGCAGTCAGTGGGAAATGTGTCCGAGTAAGGAGCACAGAATAGGCTCTTTGTTAACAGGCACTTTGAAGACTTATTCATTACAGACAGCCCTTAATAGAAGCATACTCAGGTTAATCAGTGGCTTTCTTATTTGTGAAAGAGAATCACGCAATTCTTGAAGAAACATCCAACATCCCAGTGACGCTTGGCAGCATCCAGATGATGAATTGTTGAGCAGCGAGCATTTAATAATATGAAATTTCCCCTCTCCCCACCCTCTGTTGTTGGATCAATGATTTCCTAATTAAATAGCATCTTTGCAATAGAATATGAGCATTAGAATAGGGGCTGGAACACATACATCTTCTGGGACCAAAGTTTGATTTATAGCCTCAGGGATTATGCATATTACCCAATCCTTTCTCTTTCTGTGATTTTTATTGTGCCAGTCTCTGTAGCCTTGAGGTCTTGATCTAATGAACTGGAAAGCATGAGTGATATCATGTAGTGCCTAAACAAAGCCTGGACACCACAGAAACACACAGTAGGGCTTATCTGGTGTGTAGGGCTGTGCCAAATGCCTACATGGGAATGAATTTCTGCTATGTGTGTACAACATACAGATTAACCCTAATTCTAAGATTTGTAAGTGAGGTGCAAGAGAAAAAAGTTAAGCTAGTTTTAGCTATGTTGGGCTTAGGTTTAGTGTCCAGGGGAAAGTGATTGTGTATAACTTTTACTTACACTGAGCAAAAGGGAAGCAATGAGGAAAACAA